TTTAAAGACCTTTGGTTATTAGTGGTCACAGAATGACCAGGGATTTTTAAAGACCTTTGGTTATTAGTGGTCACAGAATGACCAGGGATTTTTTCAAGACCTTTGGTTACTAGTGGTGGCAGAATGACCAGGGATTTTTTAAAGACCTTTGGTTATTAGTGGTCACAGAATGACCCGGGATTTTTTCAAGACCTTTATTCTACATTTAATGAGAAGGGAGCAAAACAACAACACCAAGCTCCAACTGAAGGGAACAACGACATCAAAGCACAACAAAAGGTAGCACAACGACGTCAAGATCCAAAAGAAAGTAGCAAAACAACATTAAGACCAACAGAAGGTATCACGAAGACATAAAGATCCAACGAAAATGACTAATTTCACACTCATCCGATAGTCATATTTGGGGGTCTTCGTGGAAGATGTCTTATCTTGAAATATTAAGTGCAATTCAAATGTTGTCCGGGCTTTTTTATTTTGTTAACTATTTTCGTTTATTATTTCTTTTGATCGTTGACCTTTCACCTGCAATATAAAAATCGGGCCTAATATCAAACCATTATCGTCATAACTGTCGAGGATCCCCTATCGTTGTAAACTGGAGTTACGTTACTGCTTTATTTTACTCTAGCGTATACCCAACACTTGACGGCATCTTTCGCAGGAGTTTATTTAGGGATAATATTTTCAGCCTAATTAAAAGCATAACATAAAACCCAATAACACGGACGTTATCATAAGTTATTCTTTCCGAAAGCACAAGGGTTATCTTGTTTCTTATTTGTCTCGGCCCGGCATGGCCAGGTGGTTAGGGCGCTCGACTCGTAACTGTGGATCGCCGGTTCGAAACCCCGTCACACCAAACATGCTCGCCCTTTCAGCCGTGGGGGCGTTATAATGTGACATTAATCCCACTATTCGTTGGTAAAAGAGTAGCCCAAGAGTTGGCGGTGGGTGGTGATGACTTACACTGCTTAATTAGGGACGGCTAGCGCAGATAGCCCTCGTGTAGCTTTGCTCGAAATCCCTAACAAACAAACAAACTTGTTTGTCTAATTTTTATTTAGTCCTACAAGATTTCTTATTGTCATGAAGGTAATAGACCCAATCACCCTAATTCAGAACCAATTTCTGTGCACTTATAATTTGTAATTTAATGCACCGTTCTTTGATGTTCTTCATATATAACTTTAAAATGAAAAAAAAAAACAACAACAAGAAATAACTTAGACAACTTTCCAGTAAGTATTGAAACAAACGAAATAATTCATTTCCGATTTTTAAAAAGGTGCTTTGAGCAGATATCTATTTTCAAACCAATTTTATTTGTTGTGCTAATAATACAGAAATATGCTACTCCACTAAAAATAACAGCTGTGCTATATTAATATATTTTCAATAATTTCAAATTTCCCGTGACTATTTAACAGCTGTTGGAGTACTTAAACAAATTGAACGAACTCCAGGTTTTCCGCAACCATTAATAAAACTTCAATGTCACAAGGAATGACTCTTACCTCGGTCATCTACGTTCCGTCTGGATGGGTCAAAGGTCGACTTGTCTCCGTCATATTTGGATTCTTTTATGGTAAGATGTTGTAGAGGGAGTGTATTAGCCTCGGAATCTACGAGCTGCGCTTCGTCGGCGTTGAGGGATCGGTTCTTCTGATGGGTCTGATTCATTTTTATCTATACTTTACTTTTACTATTAAATTAACGTGTAACTGTTTGTTTATTTTTTGGATTCCCAGTGTCTCATTGGTCTGTTGGTAAATTCCGCGATGTATTCCAAAAGTTAATTCCCTAGAAAAGACGAGAAAATGCCTGTTATTATTTAAATTCCGTTAGTTAAAATTTTACATAATAAATCATTCGAAACATATAAAAACAGGCACGGGATCGAACCTGAAATCGCCACGATCTTCAGTTCTCTAATCATCGATTGGCGATTTCAGTATTAAAAGCCACACTAAACATCTATCACAATGTCCAAAAAAAAGACAAATACACACTTCCCAGATCACAATATAAATATATCATTTTACTAAAACGTACAAACAATATCCGTGAATAGAGCATGACTTAAGAATACACTGCTCCAAGCTCTTTGGTTACACCTTCAGCTGTAATGAAAAAATAATATTATACAAGGACACGAGTGTAGATAACTATTTACTCAACTTACTGTTACACCAAAGTCTACATAAAAGGTTTGCATCAACTCAACTGGTGTGGTTTACAGAGTGTAATAACATAAAAGGTTTGCATCAACTCAACTGGTGTGGTTTACAGAGTGTAATAATTATCCGCAGACACCAAACCTATGCAAAAGTATTTAAAAATAATAAAAAAAAATTCTTAAACCTCGGCGATACCCAAAAGTGGTGGGATGGTAAATTTCCAACAATACGCAGTATACGTTGACACAATATGGATCTATCCAATAGTCATTCAGTCCGGTTGCTACGAGAAATTTGTGATAACAGCGCATGCTCTTTCGAGTCAATGATTTCAAGCGAACAGACATAACTTACGTGCAGATTATCATGTCGAGAAAATAATAATACATGGTGTTCAAATTATAGCAAGAACATTATTCTCATGTGTGTGTGTGTAACATGAAGTTGTATGTTTCTGTTCATGTTGCTGCTTGAACAGTAGGATGGAGACGTGCGAGAAAGCACTCTTCGGATCACTATTTAATTTGGTATTAAAGTAGAGAGAGACTAGAAACAACGATCACAGTCAATGTCTTCTGCCTTTTAAAAAAGTTACAGTTTAAGTTATAAACAACTCATACTTAGCGACCTGATAATCCACACAAGTTGTTTTTAAATCTTTAAAAAACATTTTCCGTGAGACACGTAGCCCTTCTCTCGTCCTTTTATGAGATACATAACTCTTAAAATTATAATAAACAATCAAAAACAACGTTTACTAGTTACACAATGAAACCGTACTTTAAAACAACACTCTACAAGTACTAGTTTCGACGTCATCTTCAGGAGTTACTTACAAGAAATACTTTACCCCTTGTCGCATTATTTACATATTTCCTGGGTCTGCTTTTATTATTGTTAATTTTTATAATCATTATATCTCGCCATATATGAACTAATTATAATTATAAAAAATTAAAATAATAATAATAGACCCAGGAAATATGTAAATAATGTGACAAGGGGTAAAGGTACAGACAAGTGCTAAAATATGAAAAATGTTTATAAAACAGGTATAACTGCCTGACGGGTCAATGATGCAGGAGATAAAAAAAAATCACAAGACTATTTTACTGGCTATTACAGCATTGTGATGGTGCACTTAATGTTATACAAATTATGATTAAACATTACGTTAAAAAACAAATACAGGTTGGGTTAAAATTTAGTCTGCCCCACTGTTAAATCTCTTCTAAAACTCAGTCATTTATCAGTCTTATACACCGATCACGTGCACTAAATACGAGCGGTTTGAAGTTCAAATCAGTTAGTATATTAGTCTGAGCCAATTAACATTTGAATTGTTTTATTTCTAATATTCTTTGATTCACTCGAATAAAGGTATAAAAGCAAGATCACAATAAATAGATAAGTGACGAATTACTTTGAACTTCCACAATGGTTCGACAAACCAAGATCAAAGTTAGGCAAAAACTGTGAGCGCCACCGTCGTCCGAGTTTTTATGACAATTGTGAATAACATTTTACTTCCATATCTCGCATCATGTTGAAAGAAAACTAGAACTAAAATAATGAAATATTAATAGTAGTACTAGCACGAGTTTAAATAAATATCCTGTAAACAAAAATAGCATTGATATGGAAAATAGTATCGTTTCTCCAACCCCAAAAATAAAATAAATAATATTGTATGTGTATGATTTTTACTTCATTCGTTTTCACCCTTTATTGCCGATGGTCACATAAATACAGAAGTTGGTCACAGATGTTCATAGAAGGCACTATACATCTACATACAGCTAATAGTGTCACATCTCAGCAGCTGAATGGACCACTCACAGTGCTGCACCTGTACACACGTCACAGAGACGAAACACACTCTGCCATATGGACAACACACCTTTCACATTCTTCAATATCCAAGATCATTATCTGATTCAAGTGCTGCAGTTATCATGGATCATAATCATGTTTAAATTAAATACACAGGAGATAATTATCAAACACTGTCGTTGTAATAAAGGTCTTTATATATCTGTAAACAGATGTTCCTTCTGTTCCGTTAATATATTCAAACCAACTACTATTATATATATACGTGCTTATTTGTTTCAATTATCAACAGCCATACACTACCAATTACTTTTCTCCCCCAATAAAATAATCAACTTTTCAAGAAATTCGATCATGTCAGTCCAGCGACGAAGTTTCAAACCACACGAACATTCGGAGCACGAGATTCTACGGATTAGGTTTCAACGTAGATATGCATGACATCACCGCGTGCGTTTTTGTTTTTTCATTCAAATACAAAAGCATGGTTTAAAAGAGTGAGAAAATGCAGTAAAACGAGAACTCATTCAACCCATCCAATATGTACTTGGAATAACAAAAATATGTGAAGATAACACAACTACTGGTACTCATTACACCATGACTATTACGTCACTCAACTCGGCTTAGCTCCAGGATGGTGTAACTATATTTTTTGTTGAGAACGTCGTGTTTAAATGGTACATGCGTAACTCGTACACCAACATTGTATCGGAAAAAACTTGCTCCCAGCATCCTCTGTTCAAAATATATTTAACGTTTCCGAGATCACACAACTACACTACAATCGCTAACGTATCCATCTGCCATAAGAATGGAATCCTTCAGCCTCAAACATTATTGTGGAAGCTAGATTTATTTTAGAATTTTCGGACATAGCCGCCCCTAATTTTAAACTGATAAAGGGAATACATCTAGTAAGTTGCACCCACCGCGAAATGTTGGGTGTTCTTCTGTGATCTAATAGTATAATTTAACTGTCAACGATTTTTTTGCGCACCCACGGCCCTAAAAATGCTAATCGCGTTTTTATAACAATGGTACGCTAACCACCCAGAAAGGGTAAAATGGTGGGCCTCCGAATACATTTCCATAAATTAAAAAAAATCCTATATGTATATATATATATATATATATATACACACACACACACACACGACCAACACCTAGTAGAGTAAGGTAACGTTGTACGTACCGTCCTACAACTACGTACCGTCCCGTAGTTTAGG